TATATTTTAATTTGGAAAACATTTAAAATATTTTGGAGCAGTAAACATGTCAGGCTAAATAATTCAAATTAATTATTGACTTTTGCTGTCTTCATCTGTTTCAAAAACACATATATATATATATATTTTTTTTACAATTTAATGGCATCTTTGGGTATATTTTCTGTTGATGATACTATTGCCTTAAAAAACAAAAATGTAAATAAAAAATATTACTCATACCTTAGGAACAGTATTGCAGAAAATTTTGACAGTTTTAAAACATTGACTTTTCCAAACCGCGGTATACCTTGAACACGGTTATCGTCCCATGCCTAGTTCTGGCTTGGCCATTTTATGGATGTTTTCAAGTACTGGGTTGCAGCTTGAAAGGCATACGCTGTGTAAAACATATGCTGGATAAGTTGGCAGTTCATTCCGCTGTGGCGACTCTTGATGAATAAAAGGACTGAGCCGAAGAAAAATGAATGAATGAATGAAAATAAATAATGTGTTTCTTCACTGAATTACATTTTCTACAGATTCTTTAAGAGGAAGGTCATAAATGGTTGTGCTTTTACTTCTGTTCTAAAATTTCATTTTGTGTTTAGAAGTTGATTGCATGCCCTCTACTGTAATCATTGAGTGCAAATTTTTACTGATGTTCTGTAAACACATGTCAGGTCTAACCTGTTACACAGAGATACTGTTGCATCATTCTCAACCGCATACAGCATGAACTGTCCAATCTATCATGTTTTAGAGCTTTGTTTTTGACAAGACATATATTATATCAACATTGGGGATATTATTATTGCATATTTGTTGAATATGGAAGATTTTTCATTTTTATTATAAAGCCAAACTTCAATTCAGTGACCCCGTATTAATAAAGGGACTAAGCGGAAAAGAAAATTAATGAATGAATGTAATGGCCACAGATATTTATTGGCCATAATTTTGATCAATTTTAAACTATCTAAACTAATTTAACACGACAAAAATATTTACACTGCAATTTATAAGAACTTTGCTGATATGAAACAATTTTGAAGACAATAATTCACAAAAGTGAGCAAGTTACAAATATTGGCCTGTACTTTGAAAAAAAAATGATCAAAACGTAATGTTTGTTTACTTTAACATTGTTTAAACTTATCTTTTTTAAGTTAAACAATTCAAATTGATTTAAAGTGCTTTTAGTTTAATATACTTAGTATAATATTACTTAAATTTGTGATGTCTTATTTAAAAAATTATAAAAAGTACTGGTATTATATTGGCATACTGTAGATAAACAAACAAATAAAAAGTAAATAATAGTCAAAAAAATAAAGTTGTGCAAAAGCTGCAGATCTTCTTTCAAAAAGTATAAACATTGGTTGAGCATGAAAGGGTTGGAGAATCAACAAGACAACCTTTGTTATCGGTCATTTACAAGACACTCATTAAATGCCACTGCACTCATTCTAGATTGACCAGCCCCTTTGGGACATGAAAGCCCTGTAAACGCCAAAACTCACCCTTATGAAATAAAATGATGAGTGCTGACACAAACATCTCCTAAACTTAAAACTGGCAGATTTATATCCAAAGACAGAACATTATGTGAGCGTATCCTAGTAATGTAATGATAGGCATCCTGCTAGTGGTTTTACAGGACTTGGTTTCCACTTGCTCTGAGCATTATCAAAAGCTGAAACATGAAGCTTTTGGAAAAAAAAAATACTTTTTTACCATGCTTACAATATTATCACACACTCGAGCCTTAACTAATGATGCATTGGTTTGGCCTCATCCATCCTGATTAATCTTTCAGAAGTTCATCCAAATATTCAGTGGCCCTCAGCCCACTGACAGTGATTCCCCAGCCAAGAAGGGACAAAGAGACATTGAAAGCTTCAGTTTTCTGAACCGGCTAGGACCTTGGCAGAGTTTTATGAGGTTATATCATCATTTTATTATATTGATTATGATTTAAGCCCTTAACTCTATAATTGCCGGGGTTGTTTTAGTCCAAATATGGGTAAAATGTGCCCATATATTAAAAATAATATATATATATATATATAATAATAACAACTCAACCACTGGTAATTTTGAAATTTAATCCAACAGTTGGGTTTGTCCAAATCTGGGTTAAAACAACTTTAGACTGTTAAAGTTTTAGAATGAATCCATCAAAAGTCAGTGACAATAAAACTGACAAGTTTCATAAAATCCAGAAATACGTGCCAAACTGGCTCTATTTTAATTTGTCACATTTATGTGGGTCAGACTTTAGATTAAAGGCCTTCTCACACCTGATAACTAAAAAATGCTGCAGTATTTTTAACCCAATTTGGGGACAAAAACAGCAACTTGGTTCATCTTTTTAATCAATTACATTTTTAGGACAGAATTTAACCCAAAATTTGAATTCATTCATATTTTGTCTTAATGTAGAGTGTAGTAATAACAATAAAGGTAAAGTAAAAAAAAATAATAATAATTTCAAAAGAATATTGGAGCAAACGTAGAGCTATAATAATAATGACTGAGATGAACGCTTTCAGCAACATTAACTTCAGCAGTCAGCCATCATAAACAGATCTATATTGTGTGATGATGTGGATGCTTATATTAGACTTTATAGTTGTTTTTAAACTCAAAACATTCTTTTAAAAAGGAAAAAGGTTTCATTTGTACTGGAGGATTAGTTTCTGATTTAAAACTCTTATTAACACTATTACAAATTTAATTCAGCTGTTGAAAGGCATTGCCACAAAGGTCAAGGCTCTAGTTTAGTTCAGTAAATTATAGTGCGAGTATGATAATGGCATAACTCCTTTAACTAATTCAATTCACTAGAAATACTGTACAAGGTCTCTCTACTTTGTATAAATGCTAAATGCAGAATTGGTTGCCGAATACTTTGCTTATAAAATAACCCAGGCCACTTGTTTATAAGTGTGTTTTGCATGGTAACAGTGACTGGAGGTTTTCTTCTTCTTATTTTATATTAACTTAATCTTTATCCCTTTTCAGAAGGAACTGAGCCTTCCACGGAGAGGAAATATGTGAGTACTTTTATTTTTACTTTACAAAATATGGTAACTGAGATTTTATTAGCAATCATATTAGTCTTTACTTTCAATTTGGACATTTCTATACTGGCATTTCTCACCATGCACCACTTAAAATCACCAGAATAAATTTGTTTAAAAGGTCTGTTACAAGTAATTTATGTCTTTTGTTGATAACTGAAATATCACTTCAATTAAACCAAATACAATTTATCTAAAACTATTAAGTTGGTCTCTATTGAAAGGTTTAGAAAGCTAACATTTTTTTTTTTAATTGTGTGAATTTGAATAAATATGAAATTTGTAAACTTGTTTTTACATGTCCGCTTGTATTGATCTAAAAAGCTTTTAAGAAAGGTTATTGCATTAAATCATTTGTCAAAAATAAAAATGCAATAAAAGTGTGTTTTCTGTAAATATTTATCTGTCTATATCAGTTCATAATATAAAATATTTATGATAATGTGATATTTTTAGATTTTTAGATTTTTAGATTTTGTATTATATAAAATTTTCTATTTATTATTAATCACTGACATTGACCTTAGAAAATGCACTTTATATGTACAGAAAGCATATTAAATGCATAAGGTTACTGTTATGTCTAATGCAAAAATAAGGCTTAAATAATTCAGCCTAACAGATGTATTTTGTAAAAATGAAGCTAAATACTTCTGACCATTGCTTTTTAAAATATGCAAGCGTAAAAAATGGGGGCAGCACGGTGGCGCAATGGGTAGCACAATTGCCTCACACAGCAAGAAGGTCGCTGGTTTGAGCCCCGGCTAAGTCAGCTGGCATTTCTGTGTGGAGTTATTCATGTTTTCCCCGTGTTGGCATAGTGTTAATGGTGCTCCAGTTTCCCCCACAGTCCAAAGACATGTGGTATAGGTTAATTGAATAAACTAAATTGCCCGTAGTGTGTGCAAGAGTGTGTGGGTGTTTCCCATCGACTGCGTAAAACAACAGCTGGATAAGTTGGCTGTTCATTCCGCTGTGGCGACCCCTGATGAAAAAGAGACTAAGCCAACGGAAAATGAATGACTGACTGAATTTGTAATGGGCGGCATGGTGGTGCAGTGCTGCTGCATCACAGCAAGAAGGTCACCGGTTCGAGTGAATGCCCTGGTCCTCCAGGTTGGTGGTCGAATGTTAGGCTAATGACTCACCTTGTAAAAATGAAATATTATGAAACACCAACATAATGCGGCTAAATATCAACTTTGATATAAACGGTCCTGGGAGTAAGTAAAAAGTAATAACCAATCAAAGTACATCTTAAAATATTTTGTATGATTACATTTTTTTTTGCTGACAGTGGTTTGTGGTTAATGGAAAACCTGGTTTGTTTAAGTGTAGTGGTATAACATATAATGAATATAACATTGCACTAATATTTTAGGGCTGCATTGTGATCCCTAAAGGTGTTTTTAATATGTCTTCAAATGATCTATGTCATAAATTAGCCTGACAAAGTTTTATCTGTATATGACATTTTAGTAGGTGTCTTCTGTAAATACTGGTAAAAATGTAAATTTAAACACTCAAAGTTTGAAATGTACCATCCTTAGTTTCATTTGCATATAGTTTTTAAACAATTGTTCTAATTGTTTTGTATATCCAATGAAAAAAGCTCTGGGCATCAAATCTGTAAGTAAATGTGGAAATGTATGAAATAAACATCTAAATAAAACATTTTTAAAAATCCATGATAGTCAATATACTTGCTTAGTCAAATATATAGCCTAAATACAAATGTTTGAAACCCCATTTTCGGTTTGGACACACATTAGTCTTAAATCCATATAAGAGGAAAGGATCCCAGAAAGTTTGGGACTTTTGACAACCATATGCAGCATTGTTAACCTATTACACTGCTTTACCAGTATGGGACACTCTCCGCATGCTGAGTTCAAGGAGGCGGGTTTATTTGCCCGGCACGGTGACGTTCAAACCCCTCCATAACCCCTTCTTTGACTCACACTCTATGACAACTTCCTCCAGTCCGCGCACCCGCTTTTCTTTTATTGTTGCCCTAAACTTGAAGCGGTTACAGTTGTGTTTGCGGTAACGTTACCTTTAAGCCGCGTCTGTTTCGCCGTGACAGGACTCGAGTATAACCAGGCGATGGCCTTTTCCAAAGCAATGTGGCAATGTGTCACTTGTGAGAAAATAACGCGGTGATGGCATCGGCTGTGCTGTACTTAAGGCTCTTTCTGTCTGCTCCACCATACTGCATGCTATGGAGTCCGTGTCTACATGGAGTTCGTCCGGGAATTACATTAACGTTAGGCGTCTTCGGTGCTTTTACGCGTCGCAATGCTGCGGTAAATCTTCCATGAGGATCTGTGAACTGCGGGCATAACGAAGACCAACACCAACACCATCATGTCTGATCGGAATTACTGGACGGTGTGTCCAAGTTATAAAAGTCAATTCGTCTCAGGAGGTTTAGTCAAACGACCCAAGAGGTAATGGGACATATTACAGTATGTTTTCATTGTGGTTATTTATCAGTGTTTGTCCGCAAAACTTGCCTCAACTTGAAAAAATTCCACAGGCGCAGCCGCCAGAAATGTGCTTGGTAATGTAGACTGTTAAAATACGAAATAACTAGTGAAATATCAGATAATGTGTGCTTTAACGACCTCTTTGTGGACAGCATATACTTTGTTTTTCCACCCAGTTGTTTTTTGTTTCCGATAGTAACGTAAACGTGGCCCATGTTCGGCTGAGCGTCTGCTGCTCCTCATTGTCCTGTTGGCGGTGGATTGCTAGCGTTTAATGTTTATATACAGTCCAGCCGTCTGTATGTGGGGTTTGTGATGACTCTGCAATTTAATTATATGTAGGTTTTAAGTCTTTGTCAAGTTGAGTATAGTTGGTGTATAGTTCTTAGGCGTAAGTTAATCAGAAGTTGAATGGGCGTTGAGGTCAAATAAGGCTCTTATTGTTTTAATACTTAATGTAATATACGGCTAAGCATTCTGTTAAATAGTTTGTGAGGTCTTGTTACAAGCATGACCAGCAAAACTAAACATTTTTAAATGTACAAATATTTTCTAAACAAAATAACTTTATTACTAATTAGACTAATTTAACAATCTTAAAATGTGCTCACCCTTTGGTCATTAAAGATATGGATGAGTTATTTTAATGGAACATTAAAGATTTATAGCTGGAAGTCAGATTGGTCTTTGGATATTCATAAAATGTAAGTCAACAGCTACCACCTACATTTAGAGTTAAAAACATACAGGCAAAACAAAATTATTGCCTCTCTCCTGAGGTCTTGTGAGGTTTGTGTTTACATTACAAATTTTAAATCACAAGCTCAGTAATAGGGCTGGGTGATTTATCGAAAAGTAATCAAAATCAACATTCAGAACCTGTAATTGATCGATCAATCGATTTTATATATATATATATATATATATATATATATATATATAATATATATATATTTTTTTTCCCCCAAGTGAAATTTTTTTTTTCCATTACTTTCCCTATCATGTGTAAAGGCACTGCTGTGTTAAGGCTACTTTTGCGTCGAATGCATGGATATGGTTCGGCGCAGCCTTCATGTGGTTGCATACTTATCTGAGCACATTACATGTGAAAATATTTTTGCACAAAACTTACTAGTGAACTATGAGGGCAAAAAATTAAATAATTGTTCATTAGTTGTAATCGAGTTAAAAAGTTCAATTAATATTAATCTAGATTTAGATTGTAGGCCAATTTACCCAGCCCCGCTCAGTAAATAGTCCTAATTGCATTCACTAGAGTTATAATTGAAACTTACTGTTGCACAATGATGTATTTGTCACATGAGAACTGGCGCTTTGTCAGTTGGAGCTACCAGAGTAAAAACCAAAAAGTATAATTTTAATAAAATTGCAACACAGCCACTGTTTTGTAAACAAACCGCCGATGCTCATGTGTCTAATACACAATTATGCAACAAGAAGCTCATTTTTTAAGACTGTTTAGATTACCCTCAGGATCATTTGTTGAGTCTGTGTGGATTTAAAGGTAATGCTCTTGCACAGATTAATATTTTCATTTTATAAGACACCAGTGCCTTGTCAGGAACCAATTTTATTAATTAAAAAACTGCCTGGAGGTGTTGAGTTTTATTTTATGAAAGACTGGAGTCTGGCTTCAGCTAAATAAAGAAACTTTAATGCATCCAGGCCTATAGATGCCAGTATAAAGTTTTGAACCACTAAGCCTTTGGACAAAATAAAGCCAACTAAACTACATTGTTGTTAAATTAGATGAAACTTTCAGAGAGGCCAAAGACGCTTAACGTTGCTTAATTCAGGGGTCCATAACCTTTTTATTACCGCGGACTGGTCAACACTTGACAATCTTACCGCGGACCAGGGACGGTAGGGGTGGTGACAAGCTGACAAAACATCGCTGATACAAGTTTTATTTATGGATAAAATTACAAAGCACTGCTGTGTTTGGGTGTTCTGTGTTTGTCTGAGATAGTCAACCAAAATGTGTATATTCCATGAAGCCGAAGCTCATTGGTCAGTTCTTGTCACGTGACTGGCGGTGCACTCGGGGGATTCATTCAACTGGGTGCGTCTGGAAAATCATGCCGATTGGGCGCACAAATCGTGCTGACTCGCGCACCTATTGGAAATAACGAACTTGCGCGAACTGTAAAAAACATGCGATATAAGGATGGCCCCTAAAAGGCTGCAGTCATTTGCAATCTCCAGCAGTTGATCTTCATGCACAGACATGGTGGATTTACCTGATTTGTTGACATGAGTTGCAGATCCATTCCTTGGCAGTCCATGGGTTCTTCACTGGGCCTTTTCCCCTTTGCAAAGAAACTTTCCTAAGCCGTCTGTTTCTTACTCATTTTTGCTGCTTGTGGGTTAAAATTGGGCGCTCAAGTGAGCGAGATGTAAGTGAGAGAATACAGTCATTTTTCAAAATAAAAAATAGTTTAGACCCACATAATAAATAAAATAGAAATAAATAATAATTTCTTGTGCGGCCTGGTACCAATTGAGGCCTGGTGGTTGAGGACCACTGACTTAAGTTACACTACTTGTGTAGCTTGAAATGTGAAATATTTTAATAAAAACTTTTTAGACTGGTCCAGTACTAAAGACGCTATTCATATAGAAGCATGTAATAATACTGAGGGCTGTAAACATTGTATTTTTAACAAATGTTTTTTTTTTTTTTTTTTTCCTCAGTAACCGGAATAAGAGGAAGAGTCTGGCTCCCTCACCTACTCTATCAAGACCTCTCTCACCCCTTCATTTGCCAACTGGTAGCTATAATTACTTCTCTTGTAATTAAAATAATGATAGATGTTGGATTTATTGTGTGCTTGATGATAAATGCGGGGTAGCATATTATGCTTACACATCCATCTCACTGTTTGAATATTCCAGTGTCAGTATCACTATGTCAATAAAGCCTGTCAACTGAGTGCCAGTCAATACACAACCACTTTGGCATCCAATGTCTATATAAACTAAAGATAATGTGCATGCTGACCATGAAAGGTATGTTTTCTACAGGCAGCAGTCCACTGGACAGTCCCAGAAATGTCTCTGGCAGTCCATCTGTCAATTTTCCATTCATTCGGAGGTAAGAGCTGAAGTACAAGCATGTCTAAATGCATATATATTAGTCATTTATTCAATGTCATCTGTTCTTTCATAACGGCAGTATAAAAGCAAGGATTAAGGGTGCAAAGGTTTTTAGCAGGCCAGTAGGATTCTGCATTCGCTGTAGCTGCCCTTAAGGCTGTACCAGGGATGGGAAGCTTGGCATTTGTCACAGCAATTAGAGTGAAGTCAGTGTGTAGCCTCATTACTTTACGCTGTCGTGATTATGTACTGAGGCTCCATCCGCTTTTATTAATGCTTGCTTTAAATGACGGCAGCCTACCAGGCCTGTACAGCTCAATGAAGACTGAGTGAGATGCTTTAGGTTGTCTTTAATGTGTCCTGGATGGGTAAAGATGTTCAAGATCTTAACTAGAGCACTGGTGATCTCTTTTTTTGAAGACACCTAAAGTCACCTAAACTTGAGTTTTGCAATTTTTAAAATCTATTTAGCCAATTTTAGAGTCAGACTGGAGCACTTTTACTGGGTGTCCGCAGGGTCTTGAAAGTATTAAAAGTTGGTAAATCAATGTAGAAAAATGTAAGGCCCTTAAAATATTTAAAAGTCTTAAATGCTGTTTTGCAAGGTATTAAATTTTATGTCATTTTTGATTATACACTGTATTGTTGTATGCTAAAGTTTGCCTGAATTAAATCTGCAAATATCAGGATGCTGTGTAGTTTATGAAATTCTACTAGATTTGACATCATGCTGCTTTGTTTACTGCAGTGAGCAAGGCAACACCATTATTTCTGCAGTTCTATAGGCACCACCTGCTGAATTAGCTAGATTTTATCAATTTTTATTCAGTAAATGAATGTTTTAGTTTTGGATTAGTTTCTTACATTAATATTTAGTAAATATATTGTAATTCAAAATATTGCCAGTGTTTCTGGTTGAAAAGTGGTTATAAGGGCTTAAAATTCATGAAAAGTGTCTTTAAAAAGGTCTTAAAAGGTATTGAAATTTCACTCTCTAATTCCTGTATATTTTATACTCTGTTTTAGTTTAGCTTAGCATAGGTCATTGAATTGACATAGCATTAGCATCTACACAGTATTTAAAAAAGAGTTTTGATAATTTTTATATTTAATATAAGTTTGACTTTTGTATAGCTACATTTTGTGTATATTGTGATCGTATTGAACATTTTGATTGGCTGTTCAGCTAAGACTGAAATGACAAAAGTGAAATGACAAAGCAAATGATGCACATCAAGAGGGGGCATAAAGAAGCCAGCTTTAATTTTGTCAGATTTCTTAAATGCTGCTTTGTTTTGTATGTGTGCAGCACTGTTTCTGGTTTCCCCTTGTGGAATGCCAATATAGATTCTGCCACTTGCAGATATAGAAAGGTACATCCTCTAGCGCAGGTGATTTGTGCTAAGCTAAACAAAGCTAAAATGGCTCCTGACAGACCCAGAGATCAGCTGAATGGAATTAAAATGCTAAAACTCAACTGTTTAACTTTGACTTTTGTAAAAGGCCTATTTCCAAAGAAAGTGAAGCGTTCCTTTAATATGCACATTTTACAGGTGTTGTAGTGTCTGTAACATTTGAGCTTCAATCAACGTGCTGTGTCTAAATGCTTGTTTGGTTGGTCAAAAAGTCCAAATATGGTCTGAGAGCAAAAAAGTTCTCTGTCTGATAGTTGTCTTACAGTCCTGCATTAATTATGTATTAATGAATATGCAAATGACTATTTCGCAATGTTAGATTGAAAGAGCAGAAATGTCTACAAGCATTGCCCATAGCCTCTCCCTTCGAAGACATAATAAAAAAGTAGACAAAAGAAACTAAATAAAACACCAGACATCAAGTCTACTTGTGATCCGGTTGACCAAACTGTGTTATTACTAGGTGTGAACAGGGCCCTAGTCTAAGTAGAATGATCCTCTTAATACTTTCAAACATCACAAAAAAAAAAAAAAAACGCTGTCTCTGCAGCACACAAAGATGCAGTTAATTGTTAAAACGTTTAAGCTATCTAATAGGGCCTCAGAATATATCTTTTTAGCATCGATATCACATTGTGCGCATTCGCAATAGTCACATCACAAGATCACCATCAATAATGTACATTAGAGATTTATGTTCATCTAATATACAAACAATGTTTATTTCATTACTTTAATTATATGCGCGATATATCATACAGGTATTTAGTAGCTGTGAGAATGACACTGAGCACCTTCTTCACACTTACTCTTTTCTGCTTGTGGGAAAAGTTGTTTGTGATAAGCATTGGTTCATTATGTAACTTTCTCATCACTAACTGCATATGACTGTGTTAACATGTCTAACTTTTTAATAAAAGATGTGTAGATGTTCGTTATACAAAATACAGACATATTACCTCTATAAATTAAAAAAAAAATTTGGTAGTTTACTATAAAAATGACAGTTAAATTAACGGTTAAATACTGTCAACCACAGCTGCCATTTATTTTTTTACACTGTAGTGCTATTCAAATCGTCTTCTATCACAATATCAGATTTTTCTAATATAGTGCAGCCCTTCTTGATATGTTTAATGTTTGCTCTCCCATACACTGCAGTTTAATATAATGTGTGCTCAATTTTTTTGTTTAAGATTTTTTAAAAATATTTTGTTTACCTTTCTTTCCTGAAAAAAAGTCATGAAAAATGTATTGCAGTTACCAAAACTAGTTAAATAATCAAAGATTTTTATTTTCTTAATAATTCACAGTAGGGATGCACCGATACGGATTTTTTAGCTGATACGATAACCGATAATTCTTCAGACTTGGAGGCCGATAGCCGATATGTATAGGCCGATAATCATAAATATTTTAAATTGTTATATTTTTATACAGCAAACTTCATAAAATATTGAACTGTTCTTATGAACTGAATAGCCTATACTCAAAGCAAAAAAGCTATAACTTCAAAATTGCAAGGTGATTATAGACCTATATTCACGATTTCACATAAATTAGCATGCAAAAAATTATTTCCTTTTCTTCATAGCAAATTGACATGCAAGTTGATTGTTGCTTAAAAATAATAGTTTAAATAACAAAATGGTATTTAATTAACAAGCAAGATAAATATATTTAAATTTTAAGATGAAAATGAAAGAGCTAAGAACTGAAACCAGCTCAAATGGTCATGAATAAAACATGTTACAGTGATGTACACATGTACAAATATATCATGTCCGAAAAAGCCTTTATCAGAGGTGTTTTGACAGTTTAGAGCCACCGAACAAGCCAACAGCTAAATACAGATAGTACGTTTAGAAAATACTGCACAGATTCATCCCATTTGGCATTTTGACATGTCACATGTAGGCGCTGCTTGTCAATCAGACGCTTCTGCGCTCATTCTTGCCGTCAATCGCGGTAAAATGATCGATGAAAAGTTTATGATAAACCGCTGAGAGTTTTACTTAACTGTAGAGGCAGAGTTGCCATCAGAGTCAGATTTTGATACAAAACCTGCATTGAGCTGACTTTATGACAAACACAGAGCAGAATATAAAGACAGAATGAGTGGCTGGTTAAAAGCCCCTTTTACTGGATTCACTCTTGCCTCTCCCCCGTGCTACAGTGTGTGTGTGTGTGCAGTGACAGCTCGCGCGCTCGTTATAATCAATATGAATATTCCGATCAAACTGAATACAATCTTACATCAACAACACATGACTAGCAATGCGTTGATAATAACAAATAATAAGATTACAAACAACGTTATGTTTATAAGTGTTGTAAAATGTGCGGGTCCTTCCAACGGGACTGGGCTGCGGTTTGGGGTGTGTGTGAAAAAGAGGGAGAGAGAAAAGAGGAGCGTTTTTTTTCGCAATGAGACCATTTTCTCTGATGTTCCCTCTTTGGTGACTTACTTGTACCACATGAAAAGTAATAAATATTTTGGACCAAGTTACATGTGTCCTCTTTCATTCACCAGCTGCAATGAAAAGAGTTTACCCCGAAACTAATATTATTCGGCCCTGGAGTAATAAGTGAATCTCCCCTGATATCTCTTAACACAACAGAGCAGAGAACAGAACAGAGCAGGAAAGGTTTACACATGTAATATTTTTCCTGAGGCGATTTAAAGCAAAATACACAATGACTCTCAATCAAGCATATCTACAATGATAAGGAACGTGGTTACTTACTGAGTTATTAACGCACAGCAATGCCACGTGAAGAATGGATGGACTTAGAGCACTATTGGAGTGCACTGGGCAAGTCTGAACATGTTCCGCCCACGCAAGCGCAACAGGCAGGTCTGTACAATTACATAATTTATCGGCTTAAATATATCGGCCTAATTATGACATTGGATCGATAACGATAATCTTAAAAATATCGTTTTTCGGCCGATAACGATATAGCCGCCAATATATCGTGCATCCCTAATTCACAATATTATTGTATGTACGGTATTTTTGTGTTAGTATATGAAATAAATGCAGCATTGGTCCCAGTTTTGATCCCTACATTTTCAAAGGTTGTATTTGTGTCTATAGCAGATTGATCTTTCATGTATGGCTGAATCAAGATGCTCCTTTATTATTAGGTGACTTGTATAACCTTGACTTTAATCTATCTGTATGGAGACTCTTTATTGGCAAATCATGGTGTCTTCCTATTTCTCTGCCCTGTTTTAGACCAGACACACGACGGTGGTCTGTGGCATCTGTCTCGTCTGGATATGGAACAAATCCACCCAGTTCTGCTGTTTCAGTGAGTGGGCCCCCTCAGTTATTCTGAAATTCTCTCTTTGTTTTCGTTTTCTTGAGCCATCAATACGTTTCCTCTGCAGTGTTTTCTTTATATACGCAGAGTATGCACAGAGCAGATGTGTTTAGCTTGTGTATACACGAAAAATATATATCAAATATAAAAATGTTTTGCACGTTTCCTGTTAATTAGTTACTCGACTGTTTATTAGTACTTGTTAAGCACATATTGCTGCTCTATTTTGTATAACATTATCATATTGTAGATCTCTTTACCCTACCCCATACCCAAACAGAACATCTACAGCTAGTATCTTACTTGCTATCAGAAAGCAGTCCTGTGGAGCTTTATTGATTGTAAATATGTGTTCAGTAATCGAAAGTGTTATGAAATGTTTTATCTGCATGCTATTTGTTTTTACTTTTAGAGAGCAGTACAGCAAAAGTACTAATGCAGAACATTAGAGACAGAAATGCGCAGTGTGGTATATATAAATATCCATAGATAATTTTTTGTTTTATATTATAAAGACAGTATATACTTTATTTTACTATTCTTTTGTGGAAATTGCACTGAAATTCTACTGCTCAAATCATTTGTTATTTGCCTGCAGATTTTTTTCTACTGTATTAATCCTTGTGGATAATTCCCAATGGTGTAAATTGATTTACATTTGTCTTCCCATCAAGAAAAGGAAAAAAAAAAGCTCCTTTCTGTTTTGAAATGCTGTACAGCCATTCATGGCTTACGCGATGAGGTCAGCCTTGTTCAACAATGTCCTATTGAGTCAGTGTCAGAGAAGACTTTATTCGGAGGGAAACTGTGAAGCTTCTCTGGTTTCCTCCTCCAAGCGCTGCTCCAGTCATGTGCTCTTCTGCTCATTCTCTTCCACTGAGATTTCAGTTTACGCCTGGTCTTCAATTACCCTCTATACCACAGACTTACTTCAAGCTACAATGGAAAATGTCCAATCCTGTAGTTGCCTTGCATAATTGCACAGACTAATAAGCAGCTTTGGATTGTCAGATGCTCACCGCTTGTATTTCATGCAATTTGAGAACGTGTGCCCAGCCTCGCTATGCAGGCTCTTGTACGTTCATAGCTAAACAACTGTTGTGACTTTTTTATTTTGACACGCATCTATAAGAGTGATGCAACAGGCGCAAGTCTGTATGATTTACAAGTCTTTACAGGCACAAGTCTTTACAAAGTCTTTTTTTTTTTTTTTTTTGGTCTGTAGCGAACAACGTTAAAAATGGATTTATATAAGTAAAGGTTGAAAGCTTGTAAACTTTTGACCACTTCTGGAGCTTGTGGAAAAAACATTCAGTCAGATTGCTTTTGTGGTGTAGACACTCTCACAGCTGATTGATTTCACTTCAATCGGACAGTCAGCCATTGGGCAGCGTCAACCACTCTGAGACTCTCAGACCAAAAACTTAAGTGACAAAACTAAGCAAATGTCTCGTCAAGACAAGAGGGAAGGCAAAGAAGCCAGTTTTGATTTTGTCACATTCTTTAAAGTCTGTGCAAAATCAGGATTTACAGTTTTGCTGATCATGCTGATGCTGACGATCATGCTTGATCACAGCCCGAAGATCCTGAAGATAGTGGCAGGGGTTGGCTCGGGCATAGAATCTAAAATCTACTTTAGCCACAATTTATTTAATCTCGCCCCTATTACCATTAGTTTAATATGCGAGAATGATGTGTCAAAAGAATGTTCCTATTCAATTTTTTTAGTTTCTGTTGGTAGTACATCAACATTAAAATAAGTCTCAGCTACTTCTGGTCCACACAGACTTTAAATATTTGCAATAAATTAATATTTGCAAATGATACAGAATTTCAGAGTTCCTCCGTGATCATTTAAATTTTTGCTATTTAAAGCTGTGCACGCTGAGGAAGGCATTGTGCTGAAAAGTTTGTATTTTGTATCACCTAAAGAAGAATGTAAAATAAAAACTATACAAAGTATTTTAATGAGTGTGAATCATGACCTTCTGAATACTAATAAAAACTGGACCCTAGTTCGTAGTTCTAGTTTGTTATGTATATTGTGGCAGCATTGAACACTCTGATTAGCTGTCCAAACCAAGAACTAAAGTGGAGAAACTAAGCAAATGACGCAAGTCAAAACGGAACTCAAATAATCTGGCTTTTATTTTTTCTGATATCTTAAATGCTGCTTTATTTATGGTTTGTATGTGTGCAGCACTAGCTCTGGTTTCTTTTTGTGGAAAGACATTAGAGATACTGTCACCTGCGGGTATGGAAAAATTCATCCTCTAACACAGGCTCTGAATCTACTTTCTTGTTTTAGTTCACTGTTATGTCGCTGCCTTCTTAATTAATTCATAAACATTCCTGCAAACGGTCTAGCAAGACTAAATTTAAAGTCAGGTTAAAGGTAAAAATGTAATGTTTTCCCTTAAGAGTCCTGACTCTAATGTGAGCTTGCAGTCTTTGACATAGATTTTCAGGTATCAGTTCAAAAACTGAAGCTGCTTTTCTTTTGTGTTCATGTATAAATTGCACAATTGTATTTCGCAATATTGGTTCAAAAGATCAAGAAAGTCTATAGTATACACCCACCCAAAGCTGTCAAAGGTGGACAAATGAGACATTTATAGCAGCAGGTGTAAACTAGAAAATGTCTCCCTTGTCTGATCTGATCGAACCAAACAGATTTTATTGAATGTAAACACATCCTAAACATCTGAATCTTGCTGTGTTTCTCTCTCTCTTTCTTGTGCTAGTCTTCCTCCTCCTCACAGGAGCTCCTGCACCAGCTGCCCTCTCAGCCCACCCCAGATGACCTCAATCGCCTCTTCAAGCATTTCAGGAGCACAGAGAGTGTGGCAGATGAGGATGGACAGCCCTCTCGGTTCCATCCTCGCTCCCGCAGTCTGAGGTTTCTGCTTGCTCATTCAGCTAACATGTCAAATGCAGCATTTTCCTATAGAGAGACAGCAGTAAGCTGGTGAATGTTTACTGTACGTTTGTATCTTCTGAATTTCTTGATGCCAAATGAATAAGGATGAAGGATTAGTTTGGCTTGTACATGCCAAGGCATTACTCACTCTCGCAAAGCTGTGGGCAAAAGTTTGCAAACAGCGTATTTTAATTAGCTAATGCTCGACAATCCTCTCAGTGTGGACAGATTTGGGCAGATTTGTTGGTTTATGCAGTTAGAGTGATTAATCACCCTGGCAAGTTTGCCTTAACCTGTAAGGAAATTGAAAAGTATGGTGATATGGTTAAAATAAACTCACTACTATAGTTTAAAGGGATAATTCATCCAAAAATAAAAATGTATTCATAGTTTACTCATCCTCTACTTGTTTTATACTTGTACGAGTTTTGTGACCCGAGTAAATTACCAGCCGATAATTTTCCTTTTTCTCTCTGCTCCCCATGGTTTCCTGTCAATGCTCTCCACTGTCCCAATGTGTTTTTACACCAAATGCGGATTAAGCGTCAAACATGAATGATTTACATGTTAAGTCAACGTAAAGACGTGAATAGACATCCTGCTGTGTGACAGAGACATTGCTTGAGTTGGAAAATCTAAACTTCAGCTGACATTCGCGCCATGTTAACCACTTTGAAAAGAACACAATGATTTCCTATTACGTGACATTGCATTAACTTTGCTTTTCAAACCAAAATAAATGAAATTGCCTATAAAAATGCAAAAAATACCAATTTCCATTTCCTAATAACAAGTTATGAGTCATATATTACTGTTTTAAGCAATGTGTAGCCTGTATATACATTTTACTGTATATTTATGTATACATTATTCATATTTAGTTTTGATGTTATTTCGATTTAAGTGATCAGTAACGACATTAATGCACACAAAGAATTTTATTTTTTTCTGGCTCAGACATTTTAAGTGCAGAGGAAAAAAAGAACCAAGACCTTCACAATTCTTTAGAGGAAAGTCAGTCATGCATGGTTTAAAACAGAATCAAGATGAGTGATTAGTGACAGAATTACATTTGTTTGTACATAATTCTAAAAGTAAATGTGCATGAACACCAATGCAATTTAACTGAAGTATCTTTGTTTTTTTTTTAGCCCTGGGCGGACGTGTGGCTCCTTTGATAATGAAATTGTGATGATGAATCACGTTTACAAAGAACGGTTTCCAAAGGTAATTAAGTTCAGACATTTACATTTTGTTTTCCACCACAGACACGGACGCCACGTCATGTCGTCACATGCTATTTACTTTGTTTAAATTGTGGCTGTGGGAAAATTGGAGCCCTGGTTGGTCCAAACAAAATAAATGACAATTGTCACCTACAACGTCTCAGTTCTTTTTTTTTATTTAATTTTTTTATCTTTCTTCCAGGCTACGGCTCAGATGGAGGGGCGTTTGCTGGCAGTGATTGCAGACTATTCTCCAGACAGCGCTCCTCCTCTTGCTGATGGAGTGCTGGGCTTCATTCAGCACCAGCTGGTCGAGCTTGTCCGAGACTGTCTGGAGAAGTCCAGAAAGGGGCTCATCACATCCAGCTACTTCATGGAACTACAGGAGAAATTAGAAAATTTTCTTCATGAGGTACAAAAACATGTTGTACAACTGAATTTAAAATGAGAGATTTATTATGTTGTTGAAATTTGCATTTTGACAAACGCACAGCAATATAAATTTCAGTACTAAAAAGATAAAAATTCTAATTTGCTCATTGTTTACCCTTATTCAACCCATCCGAGTTCCTTTTTTACTTTTAAACACAACAGAAGCTCTTTTAAAGAATGCTGTTTTTTAGCCTTTGACTTCCATAGTAGGAAAAAGGCAAGAATATATTTTTAGACATTATATTAATTAATTAAACATTAAATTTAGACATTTTTAGAATGTTTTTCAAAAGCATAAAAAAACAATTTACTGACCCCAATTTTGTAAAGGGTAGCATATGTCTCAATTAAATGTTGCAAAACCAACAACAAACCAAATACTATTGGAAAAATTATATATTAGGTACATTTTCTTTTTTATTTTGTTGCCAACCCAGGTTAAGATATTGTAGGGGAAATCTGCAAGCCCTTTCATCCTCTATAGAAAGCCAGGTTCCACACTCTTCAGACTTCAAAATTCAGAAAAATACCAAAAATATCCGCTTTCAGTGGTTCAATCTGAATCTGTGGGTTAAGCTACGAAAAAAATACATTTGTGCGGGCATACAACAAAGATAACAACTTAATTCAACAGTTTCTTCTCCGCGTCAGTATAGTGTACATGTTGCTCTCAGGCAGGATTCTCAGAGGAAGTTCCGTGTGGGTATTTTGGGCGTGGTGTTATAGCATTTCTTAGTTATTTGTTAATTTTTGATCAATGTCAGTTATTTGTTCAATAAGTTCATCAGTGTTCGATCAATATTAACTATGTATTGCACCACAGGAAGTGTTTTTTTCCACCTGCTTTCTTCAAAGAATGTGTACACGTGACCACTTAAAATCAGTTTTTCTGGATTCCTTAGGTATGGGTATGATTAAAAGGTTAATATTTGTTTCATACTATAAAGATGTCATAACATTTCTTCAAAATATCAAAGACGAATATTGTCATTTGGAAGAAACATCATAAGTAGTTTACTATAAGTTTTCAGGTCTACAGATTTGTTTTCATATGCCTGTAACTTGATGGAAAGGCTTTAATTGCAGTGCTTGTGTTAACATATGCTTGTTGCTATTACTAGATGCTTTCTGCTGTCACCAATGTCTGTTTTGTTGTTTGCTTTGTTACTAAGAGGAAAGTGTGCCGCACATATTTACAAATTCTTTTCAAACACCAGTCTTAGCTGTGTGTGTGTCAATGCTGTGACGTTCACTTACAGCACACCATTAAAAAGGTATTTGTAAACCTTTCTGCCCTGTAAAGACCCTGCTATACTAACAGCAAATATCTTTGCCTTTCTTTATTTAGGTGATAAAAGGAAGTTTGAAATAACCAAGCAGCTGCATTCACCTTATTGTGCAATGCAGAAGTAAGCTCTTTTTTTGCAGTAGTTTCAGGACTTCTGATTCATTTGCCTATAGGGCTCTACAAACAAGCGTGTTTATGACTCTAGATAAAAATATTACAAGAAAATAAAAATTTTTTACAGTTAAAGGTACAGTGAAGTGCTTTGAAATGTGCATTTTTATTTGATGTTTAACATAATGTCAATGGAAACACTAAGGCCCCATTTACACTGCCAGTTAGAGGGCACCTATGTTGAAAAATCTACTTTTCAAGCTGTTTGGACACACATATGTGTAGGTGTAGTGTATATACCGTCATATTGGTGTGATAAAAACACACCCAGTCCTTTTTTTTTTTTTTTTTTTTAATTTAACAACATCAAAACGGTGGACCAATTGGAGCGGTCTTTAGATCGACCGCAGCTTGACGTAGGAGTGCGGTCCCCCCCGCCCACCAATATTAATTGACAGGTGCGCATCACCATGTCCTCAGTTTGTTGTTTGACGTCCGCCATTTTCAGCATGTGATTCAAGTCACTAAAGGAACACCCTTGCTCTATTTTTAAATGTAAGGCTCATTAGGCTCAACACAAGATCAACATTCACCACATGATCCCTGTAATCAAAATTATTGTTTGTAACTTTAGGTGGGTTTGCAAACCTGTGTACTTTTCATTGCACCTTCCTTAAACTTTAGCCGTTTGGATTTCTCGCGGTCACAGAAGCTCCCTGTGCAGCTGGAACAACTAGGTGCAGCTGGAAAGTGGGAACGTGTTGCCTCATGTGCGTGTTCCTCCATTGGAAATAAAATAACAAACTTTTCTGCAGGTCGCACACCAGAAGTGCAGCTCAGTGACGCTCAGCGCCTCTCACTCATGTTGCTTCTCTCTGTCTGCCAAATACAGCACAGATCGGGGGGAGCTCTTGTTTTGGCCCCCTTTGTTACATTGGGTGGGAAGCCGCAACACACCCCTAAAGCAGTGAGCTGTGTACACTCCCATAAAATAACACTTTTTAACACATTATTAAAAAAAAATAAAAAATGTGAACTGTGTTTTGAACTGAACCTAAACTGGCACACTTAGAAGAACCATAATATTAATATTAAATCTTAAAGGTGCAGTAGGTGATCTACCAAAATGCCAACCGCTTAGCACAGGGGTGTCAAACTCAATTCCTAAAGGGCCGAAGCCCTGCACAGTTTAGTTCCAACCCTGCTTCAACACACTTACCTGTAGGTTTCAAACAAGCCGGAAGGACTCAATTAGTTTGATCAGGTGTGTTTAATTAGGGTTTTAACTAAACTGTGCAGAGCTGCGGCCCTTTTGGAACAGAGTTTGACACCTGTGGCTTAGCATATTATCTTTGGACGACAGGACTGTGATTCAAAGCCACACCTCCTGAAATCGCGAGCGCGCACCGCGTCACAACAGCAGACAGACAACCCACTGGTTCATGTCATTTGCCAGTTAGTTGGTGTTTAGCCAGCGCCGTGCAGGAATTACATTTCTTACTTAGCCACACTTACATGCTATTTTAGAGCGAATATTCAGAGTAGCGTGGTTGTTCAAAAATGACCCAATGTGAATATAAAAGCAACTTCAGCTCAATAAAGCAGGTTAGGCGGAATAGCGCTATTTACTGATGTTTTGTAGTTAAACTAAACATAAATCTACATTATAGATGCTGTAAAAGGACTTTATGAAACTGAAAATAATCACATCATTTTTTCGCCGGCAGATTTCACTGGCTGAACAACACGTCTGTGCATATAAGTCATTCATAACAGAACACAATCTGACATAAGCTTAGCCTGACTAAAATAGTTTTAAAACAGAACATTACCTGTCTAACAGTAATACTTCAGCTATGGTGTCGTCCTTCCTCCAGCGTGCTAAAGTAACTCGCATATTGATTCAGGTTTTTAAAAGTTTCAATTCAGCATTTGATTTCTCCCGGTCTCATGACTCCAAGGCGCTTATGCAGACGGGCACGCGCGAATGGCGGATATGCGTCCGAATCTGCATTTTGCTGATAGACAGTTTGAGCTGCTTATCGGAATTATGGATGTCAGTCCGACTCTATTTAATTGGATAAACATTTTTTAGCTCTATGCCTTACCCAGAATATAAAAATACACAAACACATTTAGATCATTTACTGTAATCATTACTATTGGACTTTGAAGAGACTTCCAACCAGCACAACAAAAAATGTTTCTGAAGAGAATCACCTACTGCACCTTTAAAAAAGGGGTAAACTGTGTGCCCTTTAAATGTGACCCAATTCTGAATTTATTTGTTTATTTTTTGCTCATATGTGACAGATCGGATGTCTTCTATGACCGTGTAAATTTGAAAAAAAAACAAAAAAAACGCATGCATTCGGATATTCAGAGATCGGTTTCAGGCCTCCTTCATATATGGAAAAAAATCAGATATAAATCGCATATTTAGCAATGCGACTATCATGTAAACAGGCAAATTAGATTTATTGAGGAATTCCATTTTTTACATCATGAAACTTGCGACAATGTGGTGCTTCTCCTTCGGTTTAATGACGTAAAAGGAAGAGCGTTTGTGTAGACGCTGACGCGGTAAACAACAACAACAGTGGAAACATAGAGGAGGAGGAAAGTGGTCAGTCGGCACAATTTGCTCCCACTAGACATGAGATCTTTCTCGTACCCATAAATTCCTCTGAAAGGTGGAGGACATCATATAAAAACCAGGCGCAAGCTGCGATGACAGCCCTTTTTTATTTCCCCTGTCTCAAAATCATTTTAAAGTTGGCCGAACTTCGTATATTTTGCAGAGCTAAAAGCAAGACAATTTCTTCCATCGTGGCCAGTGTGGCACATATGCTAGAACCCCCCTTTACGCATGCGCGACGTCAGAAATTGTATAGCAAATGTAAACACGTGAATTGGGTATGGGTCACAATTAAAAGAATGTGTAAACAAGACAGGCAAAAAAAAAAAATCATATACAGGCAACAAATCGGAATAAGGCATCAAGACCTGACAGTGTAAACGGGGCCTAAGAGAGGGTGGGACATAGTGTAGCTTTTTCCTCTTAAAAAAAAAAAAAAACAGATAATAGTATTTTGTTTTATCACCGCTCTAGCTAAAAGCATCAAATGAAAAGCAAATGAGGAACTTCTTCATGGCGGCGGGGCATGTGAGATACTAGAGAGTAAGTGATTGGTTGTGATTAAATGAGAAACTAGTTTGAGGTGATGTGAATAAAACCGTTGATTTATTTAGGTGGAAGTGACAAACTACAAGCTTTACATGTTTGTATCATTTTTATATTTTCCAAACATGAATTTTGTCACTGTTTCGGAGCACACAAGCTTACAGATATCTTTAAAACTATCAATACTGGTACTAACATTTAAAACTTTATTTCATGGGACTTTTCAAAATCAATGGAAGTAAATGAGAATGGAATTCTTGATATAGATAATTGGGTTTCTGTTATGTGAAAGAATAAGGTCAATACAGTTAACAAATATCCTGATACTACCCACACTACTGACAGTGGCATTTAAATATGTAAATATGTGTTGCACACTGTGCTTTCAGTAGCATGATGAACATGACTAAAAGAACAGTGGTGAGTAACAGCCATTCAAGATGTATTTCAAAACAGCAATGAATGTGGACATTTGCCTGAGCTCTGCCATCCAGTCAGGTCATGTCATGTCATGTTTATTCATCTAGCTGTTTTTTAATAGCAATTTCCATTTTGCTTTGGGCCTTAAAGAGAGAGGTAACACAAGATTTCATATACACTCATCTATGAGTGTAGGGATGTATTAATTCATATTGTTGAAATCGATTGGGATATGAGAGGATTTAGATTGGTTGGCATGTCATGCAAATCGCGATTTTTATGAACTGCAGGGATCATTGTGTTTATAGTAAACCCACATAACATGCGCAATATATGGTGATCAGGTTGTATTAATAGTTTAAAGTGGTGACGAGTGTACATGTTGATATTGAGGAAGTTCTATCTTTATTCAAACCGCAGGAGTGCCAGCCCACACAAGCCAATATCTGGCCTGTCATCAAACTGGCAGTATGAATACAACTTTTATAATCTTTGTTTAATGTCATCGATGTAGTTTTTTCATCAGCGCCAGACATCCCAGTGCAGAAATCCCCCCTCTTGCCAGAGAAAGTATATATGCTGAGCTTTCCCACTCACTATTCTTTGGCTTGGTCCCTGAATATCCAGGGTCGCTACAGCAGAATGAACCACCTGTTACTCTGGAAAATGTTTTATGCGGTGGATGCCCTTCCAGCTCCAACCCAGCACTGACAGAATAGCACAAAGTCTTAGTTTGTATTAAATACAGCTACTTTATTTTTATTAAATAAAGTAAGGGGTTGGAGGGGCGTGTTAAAAAAATAGTATTTAAATTTTTTTGACTATCTGTTTTATTTTATATGGAAATGTGCAGCATTTCAGAAATAATAAAAGATCACCTTATTTAAAAAAAAAAACAAAAAAAACATTGAATTGTTACATGCCTGCTTGAGTGGTTTCAAAACTTTGATTTTCTGTTTAATGTTGACCACAGAAGAAGATATTTTGACCCATGTTGTAGTAAGGCTGCCTGATTAATTAATAAAAGATTGTGATCTCAATTCGACCCTACACACCAAATACAACCAAATACATTTTTAAGGTCAGGAAAGAAGTGTAAAGACTGCCGCTGAAGTCTTCACATTGTTTTATATACAGTGCTCTGCAACATGTACACCTCCAAATGGTGTTGAAAGAGTCACATTCTGTATTTATAAGACTTAATTTACCCAAAAATGTCATTTCTGTCATGTAATGATGTATTCGCGGCTGCAAATTCACGCATGAGCTGACACGCTGTTTGTTTACTACCGAGAAGACTCGCCTGTGCTCTTCAGAACCTGCATAGGCTGTGAATAACAGGTAATAGTGTCGTAAGTAACAGTCAGTTTGTTGCACAGAATGGTCGTTTGGGAGCTGTGCAGGAAGTATGATTTGCATGTATGCTTTTTCATCAAAGTGACGGTAGCCTTGAGATGAGCGCACTCGGCAGTGAAAGTGAAATCGGCGCGCACATTTAAATGATCATCTTGCATTTTCGAGATATGATTACTACAAGCATCTGATATGTTTTTTTCTTTCATTGCAAACACAAAGTGTTGTACATTAAAATAAATGCTTAACACTGTGTCAGTATAACTGCACTATACAAAATGTAGCATTTTAACCAACAGTAGACCTACACAGAGGCCTAATTTATTATTATTGTTTTACCACATGTTTGAGCAATAACAATAATAATAGCCTACTCATATTAACTTTTATTTTACATCTACAGAATCGTGATCTTGATTTTAAGCAAAAAAAAAAAAAGGTAATTCTTATTTTAGCCAGAATCATGCAGCTCTATGTTGTAGGACTATAGCTATTGACTTCCATAGTAGGAAAAATTATTTGCTTCCACAGATTCTGATGAATTTATTCATGGTTTTTGGGTTAACAATCCCTTTAATACAGCCACAGCCTGTCTCCTTTTATCCAAGCGTGACTGAGAGCCTCATGACAATCTGAAATCTCAAACAGAATTTTAAGACATTTTTAGACTTGATTCGATCAAGTGATTTTTACCAGATGTCGTATATAAGACTTTGTTATGAAATTAACTCTCTTAAAGACATTTTTTGCACAGTGACATCAAGAAAAATCTTAGAACTTTTATCATATACCTGTATTACAGGGCATCTGCGGGGTCTTAAAAAGTCTTAATGTCCTAAATGTCAAAAGGTAAGTTTTAGGTCTTAAAAAGTCTTAAAATACTCATGTTATGTTGTAGGTCTTAAATCTTTTTTTTAACACGTTTTATTTTTCCCTTGATCATGTATAGCTACCCAATCCGGCCATTAACGCCCATACAATCACCAACAATCCATCTCAATAAAACTTTTAATTTAAAAATAGCATTTAATTACGTTCCTTACTGTTACATATTGCGCTGAAACGTTCCCCATTTATTTACTGCTGAGGAGACTGACCTATATATTTTTTTATTATAAAATTATTATTATTATTATTATTGTAGACTGAAGTAATTGTCAGCTATGTTTTGTTTTATACTTGGTAAGAGTTTTAGGCTTTGTGAATGGATATATTTGAAATTTAATAAAAAAATATTTAAACAAAATTATTATTATTGTATTATTAAATGTATTAAACCTTGTCCATCTCAGCGAGGAAAGCATCAACTTCAAGTGAGGTGGAGAATAGTTTGAATCCTACTTGATATCGGACTCACAGTGTGGCTGAATATCGGATGGCGTATTCAGTGCCTTTCTCCCGAAGCTTTTTCTTCATGTCATTAAATTTGTTTATCTTTCATTTCATCTCAACACTATAGTCTGGTTAGAAAGAGATTCGCTTCTCATTCAGGGACAGTTCACCTTTAATTATAGCCAGTCAAAGAACCTTATTCTTTTCTCTGTAATTTAGAAATTCAGCGATGATGGGTCTGGTCCTGTCGGAAAACCTTCCGACGCGGTGGGCTCTCTCCAGAGTAATCGGAGTAGTGAAGTTTTCCTTCCCTAACAGTTGCGGGATGAGACTTTCTAAGTATCCAACTGTGTCACGGCCCTCTGACTTCTGCGGGATGTTTATAAACTTTATTTTGATCTCCTACTCCAGTTCTCGAGATCATCAGTTTTTTTCTTTTAGGAATGTTATTTCTTTTTCCATCTTTACAATTTGCGCGCAGGAGTCTGTCAAATTGTCCTCGTTAGCACCAATCCTGACCTGCATTTCGTCCACCTGGTCAACTAGAGTTGAAAGTGACAGTTAAATTTTGAACAAAGAACTTTGGATTTCGCTTGTTTTATTTATTTGAGATGTAAGTTCGTTGTTACGTTCACGAATCGCTTTCATGAGAGATTTAAGCAATAGTTTTTTTGTTTAGCTGCTATCTTTCGGGGTATCAGGGATCTGACGTCAAATCGTTTTGTTCACTTTCTCACGCCAAAAGTTTAAAAATTTCCCCTGATTAATGGATGAAACATATCTAAGAGAACATGTGATCCAGTTAGAGATAAATTATTACTAGTAAAAAAGTAACAACTGATGTGGCACCCCCGGAGTTCACTGACACGTGTCTTGCTTTGATGCCTGCATCACGTGACTCCCCTTATTAAATGTATTGAATAAAAAAAATTTGATGGGGCAATTAAAAATCTTTTATCACTGAGATTTTTGAAAAAAATCGAGTGTAACCCATGTGTAAGTCTAAATTTTCATATATAATAGTCTTAAAATGGCAGAAACCCTGATACTAGTGCTAAACATCTTATTTAATTGATGGATTCATTTGTTAAATTGTGTATTTATTATTGAAGTGTTCCTGACATGAAAATAGCCTTGGTTGCTGACATGGCATTAAATAAATAAATACATGACTGAGAGCCTCATATCTCTTGACATATCGCCCCAAAAGCCCTGTCTTATTCTTTTAATTGGCCCTATTTGTGTCCTGCTTTCTTTTTTCTAAAAAATGACATCCATTATGCATCTATACAGAAGCATTGAGGCATTTTTATTTAAAAAGAAAAACTTGTAATACCAATAACATGTAATATCTAAACAGGCACATGTTGTCCTGGGTTAGTTTTAAAGTAAACTGGCAGCTTTCATTCCTCATACCAAACTGCTGCTGTCATGTGCAGTTTTTGCCTGGAAGGATACTGAAGAGAGCACGCTCGTCGTCTGCTGTGTCTGTGTGGCCTGGCAGTCATGTCAACACTGTGAAGGGAGAGATGGTTAATTAGGGCAAGTGAGAGACTGTTTTGTCTCCCCAAGGAGTTTTTGCTTCATGCCTATGAAGTCATGAATAGCAAATGAAGGAAAGGGGCTGATCAAATGAAGCAAGAGGAAACAAGTCGTGGTGCAACGAATTCATTTCTAGATGCTTGTGTTTTAAAATGTTTTAAAAGATAACATGTTATAGAGTAGCATTTAAATATAACATGTTAAAAAGTGGCATTTTCTTTTTTTATTTTGCATTGCACAGTTGTGAAGTGCTGTCTTATGGGTTTAGAATGATACAGCGTTAAATTAATAATGACAGAAATTCATTTTTGGGTGAACTATGCCTTTTTTCTTTAATATCATTGGAAGCTTAAGGGGTTTTTATGCTCTTATTCCAAGATTGCTTGTCTCTGTCCCCACACTGTGAATTGGGTCACTTATTTCTGTAACTTTTAGCATTTAAAAACACATTTTTTCTCCCTTGTGCTTGAGTCCACCAATCTTCATGCAAAAATTTAGGTTGTTTTGTTTTTGAGCTCGTGTAGTTTATTTGCATTGGCCCTGAATGTTTTTCTTTTACCCACAGGCATATGAGCGCTCTGAGAGTGAGGAAGTGACTGTGATTGCCAAACTCGTGAAGAAGATTCTCATCATTATTTCCAGGCCAGCAAGACTACTGGAATGTCTGGTAAAATGATGATTAACACCGTTTTAAAAAGCATATGTTTTACATTTATTTACAATTGACATTCATGTTGTTTTGTTTCTTAATAATAAATGGACAACCAAACCAAATTATATGTAATTTATTAGCGGTAGGAAGTCTGAATGAATGAAGGAATGTATGTATCAAAGAAAGAAAAGTCAGAAAGTTACACTGCTTTTCTTACCTAGATTTTTTTGTCTTGTTTCTAGTCCAAATATCTACAAATTCTTTAATTAGAAAGCATTTTCTAGATGAGTAAAAAATATTGTTCTGTTTTGAGAAATATTGTGCCCAAATTGTGAGCGAGCTTTTGCTTAAACAAGCAAAATAATCTACCAATAGGGTAAAAAAAAAAAAAAAAAATCTTGTTTTTGATTTAAAACAAGAATATTTTTCTTACCCCATTGGCAGATTGTTTTGCCTGTTTTTTTGTTTTTTTATATAATATATATTCAAAACAGTTCAGAAAAAAAAAACATTTTCAAAGGAACATGGAAACAAAAAAGACATACAATACAAGTGGCAAAGATTACCGAATACAATCTTATTTACATTCGTGTTTATGGTTGATAAAATGTTGCTATATAAAATTTTGTTAAAGGTTACGTACCAAAAATCAACAAGCTCCACATATATATATATATATATATATATATATATATATATATATATATATATATATATATATATAAAAGCACCACAATAAAATTTAAACATTAGGTCTCTTCTCAATCTTTTACCCTATTAAGGCAAGGTAAGTTTATTTATATAGCACAATTCATTTACAGTGGCAATTCAAAGTGCTTTACATAAGCAGGAATAAAAGAGACAAGTATGAATAAAATAAAAACAGATGAAAACTGCGTAAAGTTTTACCATATTCTAAAACTTTGATGTATCATATTTTCTCACTTTACTCTGGCACTTCCCCATTCTGGTGATCACGCCCCACCCCTATTGGACATCTCCAACAGATTCAAATTTTTACCTGTAATCGAAAGGTTAAGCTTTACAGCTCTAATTACGTGCCCAGTATGCAGCCATTTTATAGGCTTGTTGTCTCAAGCAAAGTGTCAGTACTTCCATATCATACCTTTTACAATATCATGCCATTCACCTACAGATTGAGGATCTTCCTTGAGCCATTTCCTTGTAATAGCCTTTTTATTGAAAAAAAATTGCTAGTAGTGTATTAAGATGATATGCATAATTGTTTTGGTATTTCTGCAGAGTAAATTCCCAGGCACATAGTTTTAAAATTACATTCCAGATTCAATCCTATTATTGCCTTTATCTCTTTATTCAAATCTTGCCAATTGGTGTGTATTGCAATCCCAAAATACGTGGAAATGATCAACCAATACATTTTCTCCAGAATTCACTATTTTTTGATCTCTAGTTTGAAAGTATTTTAGTTTAGGTATCATAAAGAACCTGATTACATTTTTGCGAATAAACTCCCTCCATAAATCTGAATTAATTGTGATCATTTGTGTTTCCCAAATAGTTAGCCATTCCTCATTTGTAGGCCCACCCGGAATCGGCGAGCGCAGAATTCCGCAGATTTCCGCAGATTTTTAGCCCATCTTTAATTCTGTTTATTTTCTTGAGTAAATGTGTGTAAATCCATATTTATTCAGTTTTTTAATTAATTACTGTAATATTATTGACTAAAATGAAAATGTTCATCTGATTTATGTTCAATGCAGTTTGTACAGTATTATTTTCTGTCTTTCACTTGATATATTATATGATTTATTTACCAAATAAAGTGAATCTAATTGGATTTGCATTTTAAACATTAAATAAAAGTTAAAAAGATATTATTTTTTATTTCATATATTACGGTTTTAGTTATGATACTCCCAAAATAATTTCGCTAAAAACCCGCAGACTTCTACCAAAATTCTCTGCAGAAATAGCAAAAAGGTCAGCAGATTCTGTCTCGCCCTACTCATTTGTTATAGTTATATTGGCTTCCTTTTCCCGTTTCTGTTTTAAAAACATTGTTGAGTGTTTTTTTTTATTTTGTTTTTTTTTATGTCAGGCAGGAATAAATTATTGATACTAGTTTCTTATTCACCTACATTTTGTGAGTTTCTACAAATACCTGCATTAATGTTGGTTCTATATCTTCTGAATATTTTATGTTTGTATTTTAATAGTCTCTAACTTGAATATAACGGAAAAAGTCTTGTTTATATGTGAAGTTATATGTATTCAAAAGTTGTTGAAAACGTTCTAATTCATTATCAGTAGTAATGAGACAGAAGGATGTTATGCCTTGCAAACTCCATTGTTTTAATCTTAGATCTAGTTTTGCTTGTTTAAATTGAATATCTGTTTTGCTTTTGTTAGGGAAAATTCTTGATTTTGCCATATTATTTCTTAAATCAAGACCTTGTTTTGCTTGTCTAGAAAATGCTTTTTGATTTAAGAATATTTAGATATTCAGACTAGAAACAAGACAAAAAATGTGAGTAAGAACCATTTTTTGCTTTGTAGTTTGTTTCAAAATTGTCATAAGAAGGTGTGTTGTTCAATCGTTTTAGGACTTTTTAAAAAAAAAATTTATAAAGGTTTGATTCATTTGTTTAAATGTTGCCTATTTCAAATACACATAAAGTTTGTAATTACTGTCTGAATTTGTTGTCTTATGCCATTTTAGATAGTAATGTCATTTAATTTCTCTTTTTGATAAACAGGAATTTGACCCTGAGGAATTTTATCAGCGTCTAGAAGTTGCAGAAGGCCAAGCCAAAGTTGGCCAGGGAATTAAGACTGACATCCCCAGATACATCATCAGCCAACTAGGTCTCACCCGAGACCCCCTGGAGGGTATAATTATGATTTATCTATCACCCCACCCAAAAATTATTGTGTTTTTTTTTTTCTGTCTATGTTGTAGCGTATAATTAAAAAGTAGCTTTAGGCAAATGAGTGATTGATTTTCCTCTTGTCTTTGGGTTCAGACATGGTGCAACTTGAGCACAACAGCTCAGGCAGCTCAAGCAGAGAGCTCGATGACTCTGCAGAGGTAAGAAAATAAACACTGCTTCTCTAAGCTGCTGGAGGTCTCGTGTTTTCCATTCCATGAGGTCCAGTCTGTACGTTACATTGCCAGCAAGGTCTAAACAATCATCCTTTCCACCATTGCATAAGTCAAGAGTTTTATCTGACTCAAATGAAATCAACAATGCACGGTGCTAATTCAATCCAAATGTAGTAATGACTAATTTTGGCTAAACATTTAGCCAAATTTACCCCCCCCCAACACATTTTCTCTCTGCATACCTAAAAGGTCATATCAAATAAGTGTGTCTGGTATAACGCCTTATTTAGATTAATTAAAGCTTTAGTCAAAAAAACAGTGTCCGAAAGCATTAATTGGGATGGATTGAGTCACATTTAAAGTAGTTTTAGAATATATCTTGTGCTCAGGAAGACTCAATTTATTATATAAACATTATATAAAAGTAGAAGTGATATGGTGTTTTCTATTTTCTATATTTTAATACATGTAAATAAAGTATTTGAATATAGTATTCTTTTAATATTTTTAAAGAATTGAAAAATGTTTGTATCAAAGAAGAGTCTAAATTCTCAGTATAGTGTTCTGTCAGATTTTTGTATAGTTCTGCTATTGAGAGTTTTATTTTCTTTCTTTTGTGCTCCAGAATCGTCCTGGAATCATGACGCCTCGAAGGAAGCCTCTGGAAAGAGATTTTGAGACCATAAAGCTCATCAGCAATGGGGCTTATGGGTGAGCTCACCCTTACTGTTCTTTTCTTCAGAGAAGGAACTGGCATTTTTATAGTCATATGAATTTAGGTCATCCGTTGACTAAAGGAATGAATACGCTACACAACTTTGCCCAGATTTCTGGCCCATTTTGCAGTCTGGATGAGTCAGTGCTTGATGCTAAAGGTCAAAACAAGTCTTCAGGCTTTGAGCAGTTAGAGTACATATATTTTATGGGAATTTGAATGGAAACACATTTATTTTTTAACTTAAGAACATGATTTTGTCCAATTTGGGGTCCATATTTTGAGCCGATTTTGGAACGCATCACTCTTGTTTGTCATCACCCTTTTAGTTGATATATGCTCATGAAAATCGTTACAACACAACTGTAGTAATAAACAAATTATTCAATAGGCTTCAGTTTTCTACGCTATAATTATAAACCATCACAGTACATTACAGTTTATTAGTTTACAATACTACAGTATTCTCTTCTATTCATTAACAAAGAGTTATACACATTATACACTTTACTATGTGGTTCAAAAACATGTTTGTTGTAAATTATTATAGTTTTTTCTCCATGTGGATATCTTCCAGACATCCCGAAATAACAGATGAAAGCATAGAAAAGCGTGGACGCATAGTCTACATTACATTAATGTTTATTTTTGTAAGAGGGAAAAGTGCTCCAAAGTAATAACAGTCTTGTTTTCTCGCAAGAGTTGCATTTTTTTGTTCTGTCTGTGAATATACCATCAACAAACATTCACTACTGTTGCGCATATAAACGTTAACGTTGCATTAGTTTATTCCGCCGAAACGCCAGTTAAGACTTGGATTATTGCAAAACAAAATGGAGATTTCATTACAGCGATTACATGGAAGGGTACATTTATTTGTATTCTCCTGGATTTTGCATAAGTGTAGTGATGTTTGTATCTGATTTTTGTACAACACAGTAACATTTATACACATAGCTAAGCCTGTATATAATCTTCATTGTTGCTGTCAAATAAATTATCGCGTTTAAAAAAGCTTGAACACATAGATGTATTGAAAAAATGTTTATTACATGTCGCCTTTTGTTCCATTTTTCAGCCAGTTTCTTGAACTTTTTCCTATTTATAAGTAAAAACTTTTGCAGGTCTATAAAAGCTGTCTGGCCTTACTTATTTTGGCTGATTTAAACAATCATAAACAACATAAAACAGGAATCACTATCAGAACATCAAAATATTTCTATGTAGAAGAATCACCTCCTGCCCTCCATCTGAATTCCACGCGTCATCAGTGAGGTCATGTGAAAACAACCTAATGTGCTAATGATAACATCTCAAGCACACTAGTGTATGCATACAGTATGTGAAACTAAATACTTGGGTATATGTGAACTATTAAGAATATGAGATTCTGATCTTTCTGTTGATTGCAGGGCTGTATACCTTGTCAGACACCGCGAGACAAGGCAGCGTTTTGCAATGAAGAAGATCAACCGGCAGAACTTGATCTTGAGGAACCAGATCCAGCAGGTGTTTGTAGAGCGAGACATCCTGACGTTTGCAGAAAACCCATTTGTGGTCAGCATGTACTGCTCCTTTGAGACTCGCCGACACCTCTGCATGGTCATGGAGTATGTGGAGGGTGAGTCGGAGGAGTCGTGCTGTCATCTAATCTTATGACGCACATCATTTCTCATGGATTGGGTCAAAGTATGAAACTCAATTATTTATTATAAAAATCATCTTTGCAGGTGGAGACTGTGCAAATTTGCTAAAGAACATGGGTCCCTTGCCGGTGGACATGGCCAGAATGTATTTTGCAGAGACTGTTCTTGCACTAGAGTATCTTCATAATTATGGCATTGTGCACAGGGATCTCAAACCTGACAAGTAAGAGCTGCTCCATGATGCAATCCTGCTGTTACGCATGACTTTGTGTCCTTCAAAACGTTGCATTCACTGTGTTTGTTTCCCTTTTTCAGCTTGCTCATTACGTCAATGGGCCATATTAAACTGACTGACTTTGGCTTGTCTAAAATCGGTTTAATGAACATGACCACAAACCTTTATGAGGAGCACATGGAGAAAGACACCAGAGAGTTCATTGATAAACAGGTTGGTCTACTTGTACATGAGCACATCACATCCTGTACTAATTTTAAAAGTTCTACCTCGTGTGTATTTTTTTTTCTTTTCCTTCCATAAAAAGTAAAGTGCACAACCTGACAAAAGTATTGTCGCCTATCCAAGTTTTAGGAACAACAAATAATAACTCAACTTCTAGTTGATCATTTGGTCCAGATGACTTTATCTTATTAATAAAGTCATCTGGAATGGCAAAGAAAGCATTCTTGCAGGAATCTCAGAGTTCATTAAGCTTATTTGGATTCATCTTCAATGCCTCCTCCTTCATCTTACCCCAGACATGCTCAATAATGTTCATCCTGGTGACTGGGTTGGCCAATCCTGGAGCACCCTGACCCTTTTTGCTTTAAGGAACTTTGATGTAGAGGCTGAAGTATTAGAAGGAGCGCTTTCCTGCTGAAGAATGTCTTGATACCTCAGGCTGTTGCCATCAGGATGTTGCCATTCAATCTGCGGATCTCTGAATGTAACTCCAAACCGTGATTTTTCTTTCACCAAACTTGACTGATTTCTTTGAGAATCTTGGATCCATGTGGGATCCAATAGGTCTTCTGCAGTATTTGTGATAATTGGGATGCAGTTCAACAGATGATTCATCAGAAAAATCTACCTTCTGCCACTTCTCCAAATGATCAACTGAAGTCAAGGTATTAATTGTTGTTACAACTGAGATTAGCAACAAAACTTTTGTCAGGTAGTGTATGTGCAAAGTATGTGAAAGGTCAAAGCAGCCTTATGGAATGGGTTGGAAAATTGTAAGAAAATGATGTCTTTAAATAATTGATTTTACTTTTATAACATACTAGATAAGGTATCTGTTTATTGCTATGTATATTTTGTTTAATTTGTTTATTCGTTGTAATGTTAATGCAAAATTCCTGAAAGGAGGTAAAAAGGGAAAGGTTTTTGTTTGATTAATGCCTTAAATTAAGGACTTAATTAATTTTGTTTTACTTTAATAATGTTTTTCATTTATTATTTATTTGTCTTATTATATATTATTTAATTTTTTCATTTTATTCCTGTTATAGTTCTAAAAAGAACAAATTTACAATATGAAATGAGGTGGAAGGTAATAGTTTTGAGAAAATAGTAAATTAGGTGATGTTTAATAGAGTTTATTTTTCATTTTACAAGAGCCATAATGTGGTTTTATAAGTTCTAGAAAGGAATAGCATCTTCACATTTTTTGAGGCCAAACAAGAGCTTTGTGTGCAAAAACATGACATTTCTTGTTCACTTATATTTTATTTAATCTCTACAATTGTTCTTTTGTGGTCAAAAATATTTACACTTCACTCACAAGTGTCCTCATTTGACAAGCTAATAAACAAAATTTAATTAAGTTTTATTTGACAGAATTTAACAAACTCTACAGAATAACAAGTAGTATCCCATAGACCTAGACGTAACTTGTTAAAAAAAGAAATGGTTGCGGATAAAAGCACAATAAGCATTTGCATTATTTCCATTGTGTTCCTCTCTGTTAATACAAAGAAGGTGGCTTCAAAATACAGAAGAGCTGTTGTGTAAAACAAAACAGTAACTCCTACTTATAAAAACATGAAACTGTGATTTGAAAGTCACAGCAGTGAAGAAAATTGTGATAATGTATTGTTATAAACATATCTACAGCACTGTGTGTCACGTAAGAAAGAAAACATTACAGCATTTTCAGTTTTCCTCTGTTGTATTTTTTATTTATTTTATTTTTTTTTTCAGCTCTGTGGCACTCCAGAATACATTGCACCAGAGGTGATTCTGAGGCAGGGTTATGGTAAACCTGTGGATTGGTGGGCCATGGGCATCATCCTGTATGAGTTCCTGGTGGGCTGCGTGCCTTTCTTTGGAGACACACCAGAAGAGCTCTTTGGTCAAGTGGTCAGTGGTGAGCATCAAAAGCTTTTAAAGCCTTGCTGATGGTCAAGTAAATGGAAAAAGCTTCACTTACTCTGTTGCACTGATTTCAGACAGACTTTTAAGGCAACAAAATTGTTAGATGATCTATAACAAAACTTGTAAAAATCCAGAAAATATTTAATTACTATAGTAACAAAATACTAATTTCTTCAGAAATTAAGACAAAAATTGAATGGTTGATCAAACATTTACATAAACATAAAATTGACACCAGTTGCAAACTTCAGATATAATGTTTGTTTTTTACGTAAATGAATTGTTCTCTTGAAAAATAAGTTTCACTCCTTTATTTACTCACCCTTAAGTGTTTTCAAACCTTTAAGTTTCTTTCATCTGTTTAACCCAAAGAACGCTGAAAACCTGTAACCATTGACTTCCATTGGACAAAGACATTCCAACATTCCTAACTAAAAGAAACTTATGAAGGTTCGAAAGATGTAAACAATTTTTCTTTTTTTGGGTGATGCATCGCTGAATGGAAAGCACAGGATTATGCATTAACGCATTGTACTTTGATGCCCTCAAAAAGCTGTCAGATAAAGTGTCTTGCCTTCTGTCTCTGCATGCTGCCTACATAAATTTTTGAGTTTTTGGACAACTCTCTAGGCACTTATGAAATTATGCTGCACAATATATTATTTTAGCATCAATATCATGATGTGTGAAACTGCAAAAGTCACATCGCAGGAACTGTAATGTAAAGTTGGCATTATAATTGTCTAGGAACCACAGTGCAACACGTGATCTGTGAAGTCATTTTTTTAGAGTTTAACCCAAATATGATAGTTTGCAGGGTTTGTTTTATGTTGGTTTGATTTTAAGTTTTGTGATTATAATATATATATAATTATTATAATTATTTTATTGTTTATTTGTATAATGAAGACTCTATGCAGTGTTATTTTAAATTAGATCATTGAGTTCCAGCTGAAGACCATAAAGTGCGGTTTATTTTGTTTTATTTTTTGTCTTTCTGTTGTTTTCTTCTGGGCTTTAATTTATTTATTAAGTATATTTTTGTATATTTGTATTTTTTCTGCAGATCCACTAATCTTCAAAATCATCCCATGATCATAAATCATAAAATGATGAATTATTTCCAAATAGTTATCTATGTAACCTTGTGAAATTATATTCCAAAAGCAATATCATTATTTCATTTTCTTTTCAGTTTAGTCCCTTTATTAATCCGGGGTTACCACAGCGGAATCAACCACCAACTTATCCAGCACATGTTTTATTTTATATGTTTTATGCAGCGGATGCCCTTCCACAACCCAACACTCGGAAACACCCAGACACTCTCTTACACACACACATACACTACGGCCAATTTAGCTTATTCAATTTACCTATAGCGCATGTGTTTGGACTGTGGGGGAAACCGGAGTACTGGAAATAACCCATGCGAATACAGGGAGAACATGCAAACTCCACACAGAAATGCCAATTGACCTAGCCGGGGCTCGAACCAGTGACGTTCATGCTGTGAGACGATCGTGCTACCCACTGAGCCATCGTAACGCATCCTATCGCAATTTAAATCACAGAAAAACAAAACCACTGCTCTAGCTGATGTTGTGCTTGTGTGTTTGTGTCCTTGTCACTCTATAGATGAAATTGAGTGGCCAGTGGGTGATGATGCATTGCCTGCTGAGTCTCAAGACCTCATCACAAAACTCCTGAGACAAAGTCCCTTGGAGAGATTGGGAACCGGTGAGTGCTTTTGCCAGTTTAGACCATAAATAAATAAACCAAATATATATTTGTGTGTGTGTGTGTGTGTGTGTGTGTGTGTGTGTGTGTGTGTGTGTGTGTGTGTGTGTGTGTGTGTGTGTGTGTTTATTTATTTATTTTTTTGACAGTAATTTCTACTTGGCTTTCTTCATTGTTAATGATTTATGATTTGAATGCTTAAAACCTGTTAGGATTGTAATTGTAGCTTTATTTTCAGTTAAATTGGTGTATATATATATATATATATATATATATATATATATATATATATATATATATATATATATATATATATATATATATATATATATATA